GACACTCTTCTGTCACACAACACTCCTGACACCTTTCTCCACCCACTCCAACCTGCCTGCACTCGCCTCCTCACCTCTTTCCTACACTTCCCATCACACTGGACTGTTGACCCCAAATACTTAAACTCCTGCACCTTCTTGACCTCAGCCCCCTGTAACCTCACTGTTCCACTTCCCTCCCTCTCGTTCATACACATGTATTCCGTCTTACTATGACTGACTTTCATTCCTCTTCTTTCCAGAGCAGACCTCCACCTTTCCAGGTGTTCCTCCACCTGCTCTCTGCTCTCACTACAGACCACAATGTCATCCACAAACATCGTTGTCCATGGAGATTCCTGTCTGACCTCATCTGTCAACCTGTCCATCACCATAGCAAACAAGAAGGGACTCAAAGCCGATCCTTGATGTAGCCCCACCTCCACCTTAAACTCCTCTGTCTGACCTACCGCACATCTCACTACTGTCGTACTCCTCTCATACATATCCTGAACTACTCTGACGTACTTCTCTGCCACTCCTGACATCCTCATACAGTACCATAGCTCCTCTCTCGGCACTCTGTCGTACGCTTTCTCTAAATCCACAAAGACGCAATGCAGCTCCTTCTGACCATCTCTATACTTCTCTATTAACATTCTCAGAGCAAAAATTGCATCAGTAGTGCTCTTTCTGGGCATGAAGCCATACTGCTGATCACGTGACATCTTGCCCTTTATTGTTCCATGGAAATGCTCTGTTGAGGCTTGTCCAGCAGATGTCACCATATATGATTGTATGAAATTCTTCGAAACACTGAACCATTTCAACAAAATAGTTTCATATTGATTCAGTGGTTCAGAAAGCTTCAGTTTCTCCATCATTACTTGTACTCCACACAACTCACCATGCTTCTTCATCCAGTTCAATGTACTTTTCAAACCAGTATGCCCAAATCTCATTCTTGGTATTTGTTATTGTTCTTCTTCTTCCCCCTCCTCCTCTTCTTTTTTTTTTTTGTTCATCTTCTTCCTGGTATTTTAATGATGGATGGCAAACACCGAAGTGGTGCATTACCACCATGAATTGGACCGGAGTGTGAATTGGGAAACTAACATTTTACTATTTCTCAAATAAAATAAAGAAATAAATCATTTACAAAGGGAGAACATTTTTTTCGTTTTAATACATTTCTCAGATATCTCAGCAAAACCAAATACATGTATCTAAAGAACGTCTTTGTAAAATATCACACAAATCAAGCATTAACTTTATTTCCTTAAGTTCCAGCATTAATTACCACCTCTCGGCCTCATATTTTAGGCAATTAAATATGTTCTAGTGTCTCGGCAAAACCACAGAACTAACACCTTTGAGTGTCATGTTTTCACACTTTAAATAAAGTATCCTACTGTGTAACCCGCTATGACTGAACCATAGTCTGGATTTTATGGTCTCATCTCTCCTGCCCCTTTCTGTGCTTGTCATTATTCCAACTTCCTTTGAATTCTGTATAATCATCTTCCCCTTTTCTTTCCTTCATACTGTTTCTGCCATTATTGTATTTATTTCTGTTTTACTACTACATAATATAATGTCAGTATGGTACTTTTTTGCAGATTCCTTTGTGTATTTATCAGCTGCCAGACATGCAGCATAGGTTGATTGGTGTCTCTAAAATTGCCCGTAGGAGTGATTGTGTGTGTGAGTGGTTGTTCGTCTGCGTGTTAGCCCTGCGATGGACTGGCGACCTGTCCAGGATGTACCCTGCCTCTTGCCCACAGCTGGCTGGGATTGGCTCCAGCCCGCCGTGACCCCATTTGGGACTAAGCGGTATAGAAAATGGATGGATGGATGGATGAATTCCATATACAGAAAGATTTGTTATATCACTACTATATCACTCTGGTCTACTCTCTGAATGGCTGTATAGATCTGAACATAACTGTAATACTGACTTTATATATGCTCTAACAGTTTGATCCTTTGAGACCAACTAATTTTTCTGCACTGAGGGTTATTGTCCAATCATATGGTCATTGGTTAAGTGTTCATCAGGGTGACAGCCTGGGGGAAGAAACTGTCCCTGTGCCTGGTTGTCTTAGTGCACAGTGACCTGTAAGGCCGTCCAAAGGGGAGGAGTTCAAACAGATTGTATCCCAGGTGTGAGGGGTCTACAGTGATCCTCTCCGCCCTCCTTTTGACCAGTGAGGTGTACAGGTCCTCCCTGGAGGACAGGCTCACACCAATGACCTTTTCTGCAGTCCTGACTGTCCGCTGAAGTCTGTACTTGTCCTGTTTGGTTGCTGAGCCAAACCAGACAGTGATGGAGGTGCAGAGAACAGACTCGATGATTCCTCTGTATCAAGTCTGTTCACATTAATGCAACCTATACAGACATTACACATATCACGATGAACCATCATTCAAGATTAGTTTAGTAAATTTATAACGGAGGGTATGAAAGATCCCTGGGCAGGGGAACCCTGCAATAGCAGTATGCTGTACCTTCGTCCTAATGGTAACAACTCATTCACTACACAGAGGATGTGATAAGTCCCTAATAATTGCCCAGGGATTCCTCAACACACGGGACTCACAAAGCACTGTCACAGTGTGATGCTGTTTAGCTGTGATCTTACTGGACAAATTAAAAAATTTGTTCTTATTAATTGCAGACAGAGAGAAATACCAAGCAATAAAGCAAAAATTTACAATACTATCTACAAGGGAATGATGTCTATCCATATCAAACAGTTGAACCTCACACAAGACATACAGTCTTCTTTTAAATGGCATCTGTATTTGAGCCCCATGATAGTTTTGCATGAATACATGGATTGTGTTGTTGCCCAGGCCTCAGGCAGTCAGGATGCTTCATTAAGTTTCTGAGAGAAAACAACATATGGCACATGGTGTGTGTAATGTGGAAAATTTTGTACTTTAACGTATATTACTGTCTGCTCCCCCAGGATGAATATGTGTCAGAGGGGTTGCAGTGCTCCTTTGTCAAATACCAAGACTCAGAGCTACCTGGGTGTTATAGAGGGAGGCCCAGTCAGTGTATTTGCTCTTCTTAATGAGGTATGCTCTTGTTTCCTATTTATTTCATTAGTTTTTTTTTTAATGAGATATTTCACTTGCATAATTCCAACAATAAAAATACTATTGAATATACATGAATGATTCCATGGTTTTTTTTAAAGATCCCCTGCCTATTATGCCCTGTGCAATAAAATAGTGCTTAACCAGTCAACGGAAAAACCAGAAAAGTCAAACCCACTCACTTAAATGAATTTTTAGCCAGTTGTACAACAGAACTGTATTTTACACAAGAAGGCTTCTGCTTCTTAAATCAGCAGTCATTCTTTTTTGGAATTATTTTATCTCACATACATTATCCTTCAACTTTACACTGATGTTTAGCCATTCTAACTTTTGCTCTAACACTATCCATATGTACAGCTTTTGATTCTTAGTACATCTTCAGTTTCCCACTTTAACATCTATTCATCTGTAGGTTCAGGCAATTGTGTCAGGGTCAATGTGCTTTGTTGAGTCTGTTTTTATTTTTCTGTCACTGATACCAAGAGGTCCATATACAAGAACTCGAACTATCAATATTAAATTGGCTGCTATACTGAAATTGTTATAAAATTGTCCAACTTTCACTCTACTCAGATTTTGCCTGCATGTTTTGAGACATTTGATTTGTACTACACTGTAAATTGCTTATTGTTAACTTAGGAACAGACATTTTAAAAAATTTCAACATTTATTTGAACACTGTATACATAATCTAACAAAACAAGACAAAGGACAGGAAGTCAGGAAAAATGACAATTAACTACATGACATGTAGCACGTGTGGTCTATTCAGACATGTTAAGTAATAAGGATAATCACTTTTCAACTCACAACGATGGCTCTAACCATTGGGGGCAACTTGGGGGTTGAGTGTCTTGCCCAAGGACACTGACATGTGGACTGCAGGCACCATGATCCCAACCACCAACCCTCCTGTTGGGAGATGACTGCTCTACCCACTGAACCACAGTTGCCCCCAAGTACCTGCCATATTTACAAAAATGTAATCAAAAGATATAATAGATAAGCTAATCTAATACAGTCATGAGTTTACATATCAGCTTCATGTTCTACAATTTTCAAACACTGATCTGAAAACTCGACAAACAGAGGCTCCTGCATCGCAGCCTTCATTGCATCCTCTTTGCTGTCTGCACTGTCAATGGAGCGTAATAACTGTCTCAGATGGGGGTTGCAAAGAAGATCCCTGAGCTCTTTGGACTGACCTGTAGAGGAAAAAAAGCAAATATGAATTAACCACATCTGACTTTTTGAAGTGTTACTATACCAGTGTTAGATGAAGGAACATCTGACATGTGAGGCTGCTGTCAATAGCATTAAGAAAATCTGAAGGATTAAGAATAAACCATAGGTTATGTTGAATACCTAACAGTTGGAGCCTTTGCAGAGGCACTTTGTCAGTTATGTTGTCTTCATTCAGAAGATCCTCAACAGGCCAAGGCTCTGCAAAATCAGTAAAGCAAAAGTGCTTTTTACACAGTGCTCCAGAAAATTGTGAAGGTTGGTGATAAGCTGTTTGACAACGATTATAATAGATCAGGGGTGGGCAATTAACTTCTAAAAAGGGGCCACATGAGAAACCTGAACTGTGCTGGACAGCCGAACCAACGATAACTCCTATTGTAAAAAGCAGTAAATGATATGTGCTGATTAGCTGCTACTGGTAATTAGAAGAATAAGCATATTCTGTAAACATTTAACCATCTGATTTTGTTACCATAACTTTGACTTTGTGTGTTTTTATTGGATTCTTAATTTTGCTCATGTTGCCCACCCATAGTTAAATTGATAAATTATGCTCTGGCTGGCTGACATGCACACACTAAAAGCAGCAGAATCACAGGTATAGTGAGAGGGATAGCCCCATACCAGTACTCACAGCACCCTTCGCTTGATGAACAGTGGGTGTAGGCTGCTCAACAGGAAGGCAGGTGTCTGTGGAAAGAATAAAATTAGACAAGTCCTTTGAGGTTATTATCAGCTTGTCTAAACATCACAGCAATTTAATACCGAATCAAGCCAATTTACCTTTATGTCTCTTGTAACAACCAAGTGAACAGCTGCAGAAGGAAAACACGTTGATTAATTTCTCAGAAATAATGACGTGTATAATACTGAATCAAGGAAATGCACAGATATCAGTGGGTATTGTTTAGTGCCAATTCCAGTCCTCGAGGGCCGCT